GCCGGAGAGGCCGGCGGGGAGGGGGCGGGGAGGGGCGCCGGCGGCGCGGAGGCAGAGGCGGCGGAGGGGCCCGCGAAGGCGCCAGCGGAGTCGCCCATCGCCCAAGCCTTAGGAGCTTCACCTCCTCACACTTCCAAGAGACCCATTTAACATGTGTTCGTATACAAGTAATCTGTGATCACCTTCGCAGCAGAAACCAATCAATTTGACAAGGTTGATATGTTGGATCAGTCCAATTGAGCTCACCTCGGCCCTGAATTGCTTCTCTCCTTGCTGAGCACCATCAAGCTTTTTCACTGCTATAGTAGTCTTCGAGTCACTTAACACTCCCTTGTATACAGAACCAAAACCACCTCCTCCAAGCTTTTCTGAGAAGTTTTTAGTAGCATGAACTAATTCGGTGTATCTGAAGGCTATAATCCCACCAGCACTACCTTGATTGCCGTATAAAGGGGAACCACACCACTTGAATTTGTTCCTCCAAATAAGTAACAACACCAGGAGCATTAGTAACCCAAAACCAAAAATGCTTGCAGCAGTGACCACTCCAACGGTTTGGTTTTCTTTTGTTTTTTCTCAAACTTGGCAGCAAATCTTTGGCGGCAAGGCGAATATAAAGAACATCTTCAGAAGTATTATCAATGCCATCATTCAGATTTACACTAAGCAATTCCCCATGCCAGACAGAGCATCTGCTACTGTTATAGGAATAAGCAGTGCAGGAGCAAGAACTGAGACAAGCTTCTTCGCAATCGCTCTGTGTGTTAGCAATGTCTATGCTTTGCGGGTTGTAGGGTAATGTAACTTGAGCAATGGAGTGGAACATGTCTGTTGAACTTGTGATGTTTTTGTTGTTACTACTAGTGTTGCAGTGTAACGGTGTATTTCTGATGCATCCTCCTGTTCGATCATTAAACTCCCAATCCAGAGGTGACTTCTGAGAGAAGTTCATCATACAGTCACAGAATGGCTGTGCAATGCCGTTGCAGACTGTGAAAGGTCCACAGGTAGCAGCCGGAGTGCAGGGATCGGCAGGCTGGGTATATATAATTTGCCAAGACTGGTTGGCTTGTGACCAAACATTCAGCTTTATCAGACCAGAGATGTCTAGTGAGACAAATGTGGGGGATGATTCATCCGGTGAAGTGTACGTGTAGTACTCCTCTTGGTTGTTATCAACATATGTTGTGTTAATCAAACCTTTGGTCCGTGGATCCAAATCCAGAATGGAATTGAGTATTGGTATAAGACTCAACGATGATGTTTTGGAGGATGCCCAATGCCAATACACTACCAAGGGGTTGCGGCGCTTGAGGACAATCCCCTTGGTTTCTTCTAGTTCAATGCTGTATGAGCCAAGACCCGGATCAATGAGGCTCTTCTTTGAGATGCTCTGATGAGTCAAGCTGGTGACCTTGTTCCGGCCAAACATGGAACCAGGAAGAAAAATATCTGTTGGGTAATCAAAGCTCTGCCACAACGGTAGGTCAGATGATGATGGGCTCTCTGTGACTGTAAGAGCAAGGTTTCCACTATTCAAGAGAACGGCAGCACCAGTAGTGGCGTTTATGCTGCTGGTTTGTGTCCTATTATTGACAATGTGAGTGGACCAAACTACGGAATCGTTGTTCGCGATGACAAGATTGCCATCGATCGATATCTTGAGCTGTGTTAGGTTGAGGTTGGGGCCAGTGATGGGCTGGTCCCTGTTAGCAACCCACACAGTAGTAAAAACTGGGATCTTGTTGAACCATATGCCAAGGTACCAGCTGGAGCTGGTGGTGTTCTGGGACTTACTGATGATGCTTGCTGCTGGCTGAAAGAAGCCGAGCGCAAACTTGCCGTTTCTTGAGACAAGCTTGCTGCCGACCGCGAGAGATTGGCCCACCGTGAGGGTATCGCTTGCAGCTGCGGACGAGGGGCGCCAATGAGGAATATGCAAGAGGAGGAGAAGCCCGAGCGATAATATGTAGAGGGGAGGCATTGAGGAGAGTGTGTAAATGTTGTTTTGCTCTGCTATTTGGAGAAGGAAGAAGAGGGTGTATATACAGATGAAATGGAAGAGGAACAAGAGTGTGAACAAGCATGGAGGCAGGGGAAGTCAAGATTGGTGACTACTGACTAGGACAGCACTAGCTACGTTACCCACTTGGGCTGCCACTTGAGCTAGGTAGCTGCATACCCACTTGGACTTGGGGCAATCATCTCTGTATACAATACAAGGAGCAAGGCGCTAGCAGTATTGCCATGAAAACAGTGTGCTGCCCGGCATGAGGCACACCAAGGTTGACTTCCAATGAAGCTTCCACTACACTGACCGACTGGAGCCACTTCAGAGTGCTCACTGGATTCACCCCTTCATGACTGAAATGAAATCCAACTTCCAACATAGTGCAGAAGGTCAGAAAGCAACTCAGAAACCTAACTGCTGGCAAGCTTTTCGTCTGTAGCATTTCCAAGTTCAGGGCAAAGGAAATGAAGCATAGATCGATTATATATTTTGAGAGAGAAATCTTGTATATTGGCAGAAGCAGCAAGTAACAATCAAAATCTATCCTTTTTTGAGAGAGAAAAGAAATAACAATCGACAGTCTGATGTACTAGAACAGGATGAAATGTAAGAGCCTGAGTAGTTTAACTTTCTTTGTAGAGGAGAAGAGAATATAATAGGACAGAAGAGAAAGCTCACCAGTAGCAGCCATTGCTCAGCTTGTGGAACCGAATCAGGAAGGCCGCCGCCGCCGTGAGCCACCGCCCACCGGAATGTAAGTAAATGGAGCCCGCATGACGGAGACTCGCCAGCTCGCCGTCCCGATGTCCGTTCCCTATTCCCCTCGCCGGCCTCTCCATTGTTCCGCCGCCACCCAAGCCTGAATGCTCACCGCCTGCCGTGCTGTGGCCCGTCCCCCACCTCCACGCCTCCACTACCGGCGGTTCCCTTCCCCACCCCGCACCCCGCGTGATTCGAACTGTCTAGACCGCCGGCCACCGGCAGAAGGTGAGGTGGGGGTGAGCTCCGGCGGCCGTCAGAGAGGAGAGCGGCGGCAGATGAGTCCACGGTCACAAGTGATTTGCCGAATGGTTCACAGCCGTCGGATGGATGAAATTAATTTAAATTCATGTAAATGATGTGCAATGCACCACTCCATTATTTGTTTTAGGGATTCCATTGTTTATCTCCCCTGCTAAAAAAAAGGGCATTTTCAAACCCGTGCATTAAAATGTCCGTAAACATCCACACAACATGATTCGGACACTTTGTGTACATCAACCGTTCGCACATACAGATCGCAAAAAAAAAACTGTTCGCACATACGAATTCTCGCAAACAGAAGCAAAACTAGGGGTGGTTTGCGGGCATCCAGACAGCTGCCACGTAGGCGTACGACAAGCCGGATCCAACCAAAATTGTGGCGGAGCCCGCGCATTTGGACAATTTTACATAATTTTTGCACGATTCCTATTTGTCTCCACTCAGATCGCTGTTGACACCCACATAGTTCCCGCCCATTTCTCGTCCATCGCCACGATGGAGCCAGAGGTTGTACTAACGGAGATGTTTATAGTCCCGTTGGGCCCGGAGCCGGAGGACCCGTCGGTGGTGGCCACCCGCAAGGTCAACACGACCACACGCAATGCATGTCACCGCAAACAGAAGAAGAGGGAGGATGCTTTGGCGGCAGTTGGTCACCCAGTACCTCATCAGACAAAGCGTGTGAATCGGCGGGTGTTGGTCGTGCAATCGCCGCTACCCTGGCTAGTGCAGCTGCATCTGCCATACTAATACGTCGCCCCGCAGCTCAGTCCTGAACAACAGTCTGCATCCATCGTTATTGTCGCCCATCATGTGTCGTACAACGTCGACCTCAACGTGAGTACACCTTCACGGAGTCGCAATTATTGGCACTTGTACATTCGTGGATGTCGGCTCCCACGCCCTCCAGTGCCTGGTTTCTATTTGTGGAAATGTCTCAATCTGGCGCGACAGTGGATAAGGAGGAGACATTGATGAACATAATCCACGAAAGTGGCAGTCACGGAGATGGGCAAGTGGAGGACCCAGTCGGAGGTGTACACCCAATAGACGCACACCCAGATGCCGGACACCCAACAAATGCGAACCCAATAGTCGAACGGTGACCCTAGCGACATATGGGCACCGGCTGCGGACCTAAAGAAGGAAAGGGGAGAAAATTTAAACTTGAAGGAGGATAAATTGTTGGTTGATGTGTGATTGGCCACAAGCATTGATCCAATTCATGACACAAAGCAAAGGGGGTGAAATCAAGTGTGCATGGTTGATTCCATGAGAAAATTCACTATGATACCTATCACACGGAAGTGATCCATGAGCGCAATGCGAAGTCACTCACTAGCCGTTGATACGACATTCAATAGGCCAAGAGCAACTATTGTGACTTCTACAAACAATTGCAAATCTAGTGGCCAAGTGGCATGGCATTCCAGGAGATCATAAGTTTTTTATTGCTCAATGTGTGTTGGTCATTTGGCCGGATATGCTCTATGTGTTGGTCATTTGATCAGATATGCAACTTATGTTGGTCATTTGGCCAGATATGCAACTTATGTTGGTCATTTGGCCGGATATGAAGCTTGTTGATCATGTCTTCTCTTCTAGGCTAGCTGTGTAGTGACATTGTTATATAGGACGCAGAAGAAGCACTTCCTCTTCATGCATTGTTCGTTGAAGTTAAATGTGCACCCAGGTGGCTCAATGTCGTTGCCAATTATGTCAAGACAATCACCACGCCCAATGTAGGCAAAGATGGTGATCCAACCAAAGGAGGCCTTGATCCAACCATAAAGATAACTATGAACCGACGAAGGAAGTGGGAGGAGGAGAAGGAGAAGCGAGAAAGGGTGGCGCTCAAGATGACTGAGAGGTTCGAGGACATAATGGCTAAGAAGGAGGAGACATGTGTAAAGCACAATGACATGGAGGAGGAAAAGAAGGTCGAGAAGTTTGACAAGTTCATCCTGGTGCAAGAGAAGATGATCAAGCTACAAGGGAAGAATGTTGAGCTCGTGGCCGCTTCGGGGGACACCAAGATGTTTACCATGAAGATATTGGACTTCTATCCTGATGCAGCGAAGATCATATAAGCCTACCATGCTAGAATGTTGAAGTGTTTGGCGGCCGATTTGGAGGAGTCGGACGCACATTGAATAATTTAAGGACAACCAGTGTGGGACGCACATTGAATAATTTGAAACAGACAAGCCGCGGTCGACCTGGTCGAGGTGCTTGTTGCCGACCTGACTCCTCCACGTCAAGCGGCCGAAGCAGCTTCTCTGATGTGAGTCAACAGTGAGCACGAAGGACCCCATGGGAAGAGTTGAGGCACCATGAGAGAGATGTATATAT